GAATGTTTCACAAGAATGCTGGGTTGTGAACAAAACTTTCGCCCAGCGGGACAGCTATGGTACGTATACCATGAAAAGCTGAGTTGGAATGAAATGGTGCCCCGGTAGCGTAACTGGTAGCGCACTTGCCCGGAAAGCGAGAGGTGCGGGTTCTAGTCCCGCCTGGGGCGAAAGTTTTGTTCACAACCCAGCATTCTTGTGAAATTCGCAAGGCGAACTGCGGCCAAAAACAGCAGTTAACAAACAAAAACACAATTTATGTTTTTATATAATGTTTAAGTGAATGGAACTGTCATGTTTATTATTTTTGGCATGATTACAATGGACAAGCTAGTTGTATTTAATTCGCTCAATGCATTCCCCATTATCCTGTTCGCTGTTCTTCGAAAAACGCCTAACACAAACAGTGCCGCGGGAAATTGTAAAGGTAGGTGCATGCTTATTTGGACGATTCGTTGACTTCGTATCATCCTATGTATGCTCAAAGGCCGTGAAGAAGATGGTTCGTTATCGATGAATATTAAAATTAGAGGCGACAAATGGCCCGACGGTGAAAGAACATTCAGAGAGAACTAGAAGAAAAACGCGAATGAGCAAGAAGCGGCAAACGCAAAATAAAGGATAAAAGGATAAAGCATTTGCCGTTGATCAATCCCTTTTTGGGATGCGGCACGCATTCTACTTCCATTTGTACATTCGTAGTGGCGTTTGAATGCGATGTGGCCTATACAATGACTTGCGGGGGCCAGCCGATGTACAAGTCAGTGTTTTTATCCTCCCAGACAAGTCTGGTACCAATTAACCGACCCCGGAGGGATGGAAGGCTTGGTTGGCCCGGGCGACTCACGACCCAGGATTTGATCCCGGACCGCTCGCGTGGTAAGCGCGCCACTTGTCACTACACCACTTCCGCCCGCCATGATTTTATTGCAGACGCAAAATACTGCAAAAAATCATAGCAAATTGGCATGGATGGCTCCCGCGGTGGCGTGCTCATTTCATGAGGTTTTGTGATGGAGCACGCGGCCGGCCGGTCCTGGCAGGCGAAGTCTTCAAATGTTGAATGAAAAAAAACCGCCCAGGTAAACGACGCAACTATGCACATATTTCTTCGATATCGGAGGAAATGAAAAGAAAATTTGAAGAACGAACAAGCACAGAAGTGAAGTGCTTTCGCAATAATTTTTCTCAAGCAAGAGTCCGTACGTTTTGTATTTCTCTCGTTTATCAAATACAAAAGTCGAAACAAGAACTTTGAGAGTGTCCAGTTTTTCAATTTCATTCGTGCATGGAACCTACAATGGAAAGACAACTCTACAAACCTCAAGAGATATGCCCAGTGCATAATATCGACAAGACAGAGGACGATGAAAACCGCTTTCAAGAGGTAGAACTGTCGCTTCGGGTTGAACGCGGACCACGTCTGGAAAGAAAGGAGACGTTGACAGAAGAGAAATATTCTCTTGCGGTGACTATGTCTGAAAAAATAACAGAGATAGGTGGATTAATTTTTGGTGAGCCGACTTCGATAGCATTCACCAGTATGAATTCTTTTTCATTTAAAGGAATCTTCCACGGACCATGGACCAGTGGGCGGGACCGGAAGTGGTTTTGCGACGAAATGCATGGTAGGTACGGATCCACGTTCATGGGAAGGTTTGAAGTGAATCCTGTTCACGTTCGTGCGTTCGACACGTGGATCCGTACCTACCATGCATTTCGTCACAAAAACTTCCGGTCCCGCCCACTGGTCCATGGTCCGTGGAAGATTCCTTTAACAAATGCGTCCTACAGGAGGCCGTCAGTGGTTACCTATGGTTGGCCGGTACCTCTACGCAGTGAGACTTAAGACGCCTTACAGGATCAGGCTGGTATGGTCATTTTGTCCAGAAATGGAAAAGAGATGAGCAGTGGATTGATAGTGGAGGGAAAACAAAAAAAAAAACTACAGAAACCCTGAAAGTAGAGGTCCATTTTTATAGGTTGTGAGGGGTTCTGATAGTAAATGACAAAAACTAGACAAGATCTGAGCGCTTTTGACAAGGATTAAGGAGGGTCAGGTGACGACAGAGCACGGATATAAACGAGAGCGAATTCGGCCCTTGACGTCAAATCGTGTGCGGCCAGGTGATGAGTGGAATACCGTTTGCAACCTGAAAGCTTAGCGGCTTTGAATGGCGATTTCATGCTGCAAAAGTGGAGCGAACGTATGCTTCCACCCTTCACCTTTCTCGAGCTAGAGCTCCACTCCACTGACCTGATTCTAGGCTCCTCATAACGTTAAAACTTCCGATTTTTTCGATTTCATTTGGCGTTCTCTTGCTGAGGAAACCCATAAACAAAGTCCCTGAGAATTGTACCTGAGAATTGTCTATGGTGACGTTTTGTCGGTTCTCCGAACTGGGTGAGTTTGACGCAGATCCGTTGGCCGATTCCGACGTCTTCACCGACAACGTTCGTGGAACTCGAGGAGTTGAAGGCATGTCCTGTAGTGGAAAATGATTCAAAATATTGAGCGTAATCATTTCTGTCATTCCGCCATTAAGTCTGAGGTAGACGAATCTTTTCACATACTGGACTCTCAACAAAACAACAAATTGCTGTGCATTATCCTTATCCGTTCTACCACCCCCCCCCCGCCTTCCTCTATTTTACTATGATTCGTGAATTTTTTTATGTTTGAGAAACTTTCAATCCCATTTGATCTGATGTTCCAATGTTTGAACAAATTCCGCAGTTGGTTTCCATAGAACCTCTTTCAATGTGATATCCAGATCCAAAAAAGCATAGAAATATAGTGAGCGATAAGATCAGGGGATATGTAGGCACCCTTTGAAATAAGAACTTCGCGAGCAGATTAAGTTCCCATGGAGATGTGTTAGAGGCTCACGGAGAACTCTTAGAAACCATAAATCGTCATGAGCCCTTTCCGCTACGGCTTTTTGGATCACGCAGATCGGTGTTATAATGTGGTTAGGGACAAGGGGTCGTAGCACACAGCTGCCTCTCCAAGGAAAAGTATGAAGATAGCGCTTTTGTGGCCCATTTTCAAGTCGCACTAGTGCCAGGACCCTTGTGCTCAAGGGATCTGCTACTTCATTCACTAAAGGATTTGCTTCAAGTGCCTAATCACTATCCGATTTGCCATGATGCAGTGGGTGCGTTGGGCCCAAAGGGGCTTCGAGCGGTTGTAGATAAACTCATTGGCCCCCGTTCTGTTGTGAGTTGCAGCGCGGGTGGGTCGTGGCCTGTTGCAGGCGGTTGTGGTCTCTAAGCCAGGACAACGTCATATTGGTACAAACACTGATGGAAATCGGGTGAGTCCTTTGGAGGGTTGGCGGGTTGGCGGGTTGAAGCTCGCCTTACAGTTGACTCCTCATCAATGGGTCGATGGTTTGATGGCGTCAAAAGGCATCAATGGTGGAAAGTCAATGGATGGGATCAGGGTCAACCTTCCGCTGAGAATTTCTTAGCAAAAGTAGTCGTATTTGTGGAAGAGAATTTTTATTCAAGTGAAAGGGATGCAAATTTGTTGCAAAGGGACATATGCAGTGGTGTGTTTGGATATTTTTGAGAAAATTTCAAATTTAAAAAAAAAAATTCAAAAAGTTTACTTTACTTTATTTTATGTTACAAATGTGCTACAAATACGTTTTGTTGTGTACTTTATTCGCTTGGGTAGATTTAGTGACGATGTGATGAATAAGTCGTCACAAATCAGGTCCAGTGAACTATAGAAACACCATTGACATTCGAAGATAGGCTTCCTCTCAAGGCAAGCTCCAGCCCACCTAAGGTGCCGCTCAATTTCCATTTTCTTCTACCATTGTGACGGTCAACCATGGTTTGGAGAGCCTCAACTACACCCACCTACGCCCCTCCACCAAAAACTGCCAGTGACGTGATCAAGAAGCGTTATCCGCCCTCAGCCATCAGTACCCAAGTTTTTGCGTCATGAACACCCATGATTGAACGAAGTCCGCTTCCCAATATCTAAGTAATATCTTTGCGCTATTAGTTTTCCTGAATGTCTCTGGCTGACTATTCCTAAACAATGTCTGGGGGAGCTTACCAATAAAGAGCTGGAAGGTGATGAATGTGCGAGGAACAAATTTTAGTGGCCAAAATTGGGTGCTGTGGTGGCAAAAGGGCTAAGAACGACAATTTGGCTCTTATAGCCTCCGCGTGTTGAATATAATAGCGAAGAAGAAACTGAAAAATCGAGAGATGCGTTCATTTGTGTTCACCACTAAAGGTTCAATCAGGCGCTATCGCAAAATTCAGAGGCATTTTTCACGATTGAGCTCGGGAGGGTACAGAACTTCGGGGAAATGTAATTGCTCTCGAATCCTGACTGCCAGCCTCCCTCTCCCCTCTGAAGGCTAACCCCCATTGAACAGAAAGGCGATATTTTACGGTGTTCCGAATGCATTGCCACCATAATGCCGCCGCAATTGCGATAGCGCCAATGATCATTGACTTGCTCCTTCACTAATTCATTGAATTATTTGAAGTTGGTTATATGGAAGAACAATCATTGCATTACTACATTCTAACCAATCTTTAATCCCTCCAGGGTCAATAAAATGACACCAAATTCGCTTTGGGGCATAAAAACGCCGGCGTGTACAATGGGTGGTCCCGGAAGTTATTGTATAAGCCTAATCACATTCAGAATGTCGCTGTGATTATGAACGGAAGTAAAATGCGTGACACATCTTGAAAGGGACTGATCAACCCCGAACGACTTATCCCTCACCCTTTTCCTTTATGACAATATTTGTTTTAGTTCTTGAAAGCGGTATAGTGATTGTATGGAGTGATGTAAAAGGTAAAGTAAAAATATAATTGTAATTGGTTGGATCAAATCCTGTGGCGCCTTGAAAAGAAAACTGACTTGGAGTCAGTTCGTTATTCATAAAGTAGTACCTGCGAGAAACAAGAATGGTGCTGTTGTTTTCGGTGGGTCAGCCTTGCCCACCCTACCTCCCTCACCTTCCCCGCCCCATGTTCCAGTCCGCATGCATTTGTGATCGAGCGTACCTCAGTATTTCCTCGTACGATGTCTCCGTTTAGTTTCAGTTCCAATGTGTTTGCCCGAGATCGAATTCGGGTGCCAGCGCCTTCCTTGATTTGGAGATCAACGGTGTTACGGCGAGTGGATGTGTCGCCTTTTTTGAACTAGATATTCATTTATTAGTGAAAAATGAGGATAAAGCCTGGAATTGGAAGATGAAAAGGGAAGCAAATAATTCAAATAAAGGTTTCATATAAAAAACAAAAACATGCTGGCTCTTATGCACAATGTACATTACATTTCACTCAGGATCATTTACTTACTAATGAAAGTAAATAAGTGCCCTAAGGTCTTATAGATAAGCGGTTTTGGGCCACCTCTATGAAACTTTTCTTGAAGGGGGACTTTACGGTTAGAAGGCAGCTCACTGGAAGCAAGTTAGAGGTGGTTAGGGGTGTCGGGGTGAAGAAAAAACCGTGAGGATCGCATGAATGCGGAAATCAACGGGCAACGATGGAGTCCCTTTTCTCGGTTTTTGGGCAGTTTTCCAGGTTTTGCTTTTCATCTCTGCACTGCTAACCATCTCTGCCTTCATTCCTAATGCCTTTTCATAGCAAATTCTGCCATTAATAGGTCGGAACAGGTGTTACGATGGCTGTATGGTCAAGAAACGGTGTCTTAGGGTAAAGAGTGCATTAGGTTGATTGGAGGAGCTTAATAAAGCTAGTTCTGCAAGCATGTTTCTACGAAAAATCGAAGTGAAACGCTCGTGGAACAAGAACGGAGGTAAGGAAATAAGGGTTTTATAAAAATATAGAAGTACTAAATTCAGCACATTAGGCAGTTCACTTAAATTTGGTCCGATTTTAAGTAAGACCTTTATTGCGGAATCCTGACGCAGGTTATTCCCAGAGTATTTGCCACAATTTTCTTCAACCTTTCCCGTCTTCCTTGAGCAATCCTATGTAACCCATTACGACCGGTTGACCATTTATGCTGTGAAATCCCCGAACCCGAGCTCGTGTTTCTTATCCTTACAAGGGAGTATAGCCCATTGAGCAGATCCTGTAGCGGGATGTGGTTACTCATCTGCGTTAGTAATAGCTCCACTTGTCATCATTGTTCCACCAGGGAAAGAATTTGAACAAGAGAAAGAATGTCAAAGCAAGAAATTAAGAAAAAAAGAGCGGAAGTTGAAAATAGAGGTAGGCAAACGTCAAAAATAGAAAAGGCAAAATAATCGAACAAACACGTAGTAGGAGCTTTGCACTGAAGTCAGTGGCCCTTACAGAGCTTGGAACTAATCTTAGGGAGGCGCAGGTAGATCTAAGGGAGGGCGTGGAAGCAAACTTTGATTCTCTCTTGGCTTTTCCTCCTGGTACAAATCTCTCAGCGATCACTACTAGTCGATTTTGAAAAGCCCTCCTTAGAATGGCCCCTAAGAGGATGAGCACCAAAATATCCATCTTAAGTCGTGAAATCAGCACAGCAACGGCATGTTAGTTTTTGTTTGTTAACTGCTGTTTTCGGCCTCCTTTCGCCATGCGAATGTGTTCCGAGCATGGCTGGGTGGAGCAAAACTTTAGTCTCAGTATGCTCGGAAGACCCACACTTTTACTTCGGGCAATGTTCGGGAGCTTGACAATATTATGGAAGGAGAAATTCAGTGTGAACTTCATGTGTGTGGAAATCACTGAAAAATGCTCATTATTTAAGGTTCAAACGATTTAGAATAAAGAAATGGTTAGTAGAGCGCAAAAAGTTGAAAAAGCATGAAAATAGCGAAGAAGTCCAGGATATGAAATCGAAAAATAACATGCTCGTTTTCTCCGCTCTTCACATCCGCTTTAATTTGGTTATTTCTTCCCTTCGATCTGTCTTGCTCCAGTCCAAGCCATCAACATCGCAATTTTTGCAGCGGGATTATTGCAAAGGGGTAGAGCACCGCATGGATATAAAATAATTCCGCATCACTGGATTTGCTCCCCTGCAAAAATTGGAGTTTTTCAGGCGGCACGGCTTCTCGTACAGATGCCCCGCTCCTTTACTGGAATATACACCTCCTTTAGCTATACGAATGTATGAATGATGGGCTAAATATTGTTATTTGTCATCAAGAAAAAAAAAGGAAAGTGAACGAGATGAGACTGGAAAGGGCAATTTCCTTTCTATCTTATGTGCATTGTCGGGTTTTCTTTACTAATAATATCTCCTTCTAAAAATATTTACTTCTCGCCTGTAGTGACGATTCATACAAAAAAAGAACAGCTTTAGCAATTTCCAGAGCACAATAAACATATGATTAGACAAAGAAAACCCGAACATCACAAAAATATAAAAAGTAAGGTTAGCTAGTGACATGGAAAACGAAGGAACTGACAAAAGTCACGTGCATATCAGTAATAAAGGCACAGGTGTGTGTTGAAAGTGCTGCAAAGTTGATGAGAGGAGCAAGTGTAACTCATGTAAGACATGCAGTAGCAATTACCTCAATTACAGGCTATGGTTTGTTGAAACTCTATCGAGAAGAGACCATATTCTCGCAAACTGATTTCGTATTTATCTAAGCATTTATGACTAGGTGTGCGTGTAGCGTTATGCCTAGGTAGAAAGCTTTGTCGTAGCCACAGCGCTAACTCCGCCCTTTTTGGGAGGGGGTGGGAGAATCATCTAGATCTTGGCGCTCGGCTTTTTCCCCCAATCTTATACCACAGAAACACCACCCCCCCCCCCTTCTTGGCGCCTTACTCTACACAAGGTTGTTTACCAATTACCAAGAATCTTCTAATTTGTATAACTGATTAATTAATTCGGTAAACTTTGGTCAAGGATATTACTTAATATCTAATAAATCTTCATAGAAAAACTAAAGATCTATTTGACGTATAATGTATGCTATACGAAGTTATTACGGAAAGCTGAAAAGGCAATCCATTCCAAAGTAGGTTAAGGATGATCAGTGAGAAAAAAAAAGAAGGAAAACCATGAGAAACGGCCCGGAACCCGAGGAATGGGACCCCTCGATGCCATATACCGCACTGATGCGATTCATGGCGCGCTTTTGGGAAATTTAGCACTCTCCTGCTAGTCGTGTGAGGTACCGGCGCACTGGCGCAAGAGAGCAATGATAGATCTGTCAGTTATTTCGCTGGCCAAATGCCGCGTAGATCCGCAGGGAGTCCGCTTCTCCCAGTAAGGCAATTTTTCCACCTCTAGATCTTCGTCTTTATCGTGGAACCTTTAACTGCATTGTATTCCGTTTCTTACAGTACACAGTCAATTTCATTCAATAAGATCCTGTTTTGCTAAGGCGCTAATACAGATTTCACTGGAAATGATCCTACGTAGGGTTCAAACGGGACATTGCGACCCTCGTCTCAATTTTCTTCGGGCCTTGGTAGAGAGGATGCTAGGCAGGAAGACGCGGGCAATTAGAACAATCGATTCCTGATTCCCGCTATTTGAATTCAAGGTTATGCCTCATGCATCAACAATGTCAACACACGCTGGGAACAAAAACCGTTCTAGACTACACCACTATTCGACGAGAAACGAGCGTGCGGTGCAAGACCACACACAACAAGTGGCGATAACTAGAGAAAGACTGTCTCTTTTTCTTGTACCGTCTAATTGTGTGTGTGGTCAGCACTCGCGCTTCTTCTGTTTTTCGAAAATCAGAGCCGGGACATACGTCAGTTATTATCCGAAAGTTGGGGTGGGTGTGTCACCGGAAGTGACGTGCACTTGATAGAAGTGCGTGGATAAGCTGTTGCCAGCATGCTTTGCTGATAGCCAGCGATGTATGTTGGAAGCAGCTTATCCACATAGTTTCTATCAAGTGCACGTCACTTCCGGTGACACGCCCACCCCAACTCACCGATATCGAGTATACCTTCGTATAATGTATGCTATACGAAGTTATTACGTTTCGATTGGGTCAGACATAGCCTTCATAAGCATTTAACCTGGGTTTGTGAAATGTTCTACCAATAAACATTCAGTTTTGGTGCTCTTCACTCACCTCGACGTCTACAGTATTTTTCCGAGATCCTTCGCTTCCGCCTTGCTTCAATACCACACCGGGGCCTTGTTCCGCCGATATTGGTGCTGTAAATCAAGTTTTACTCGGAATATTCCTCACGGGAAAGAAGTACACCGCAGAGCAATAAAAAGGGTTAACTTTGGTTAATGCGTCGATCCTTTTTTGAATTAGGATTTTTTAACCCTTCTCTAATACTTGCTTTTGGAACTCCAGAGGTTCTTTCAACCCCGTTTCAATATTGGTTCAATTGCGAACCAATATTACTATTAACAGTTATGGAACGCAAAGCATTGTTTGTTGTTCGCTTGACACGCTGTTTAGTGAGTATCAAAAGTTGTGAATAATCTTCGATGCCGTTCGGAATCCGCCGTGAAGCGGCACTATTTTAGCCCTTGTTTCTTTTTTAGCACTGGGGCGTAGTTGGCCACAGAGAAATATTTTCACAAGTTCACCTTGCGTATGTTTACAAGAATGAAGAATGGCTGTGAAACTAAATTTTGCATCAAGGTTGCGGCCACTTGTTGGCTTCAAAATGGTCCTGACGATGAATATGACATCTGATTTTGACATTTAGCGCGATTTGGCACCAACCGTAGGCGCCAACCCAAATGCAAAATTTAGTCGCCACGGGGATCGAACCATCAACAGTACCTTATGCTTCTTTTTTGGTACTGCTAAACCGTTCAGCGAAAACGAAACATGGTTTTGTGTCCATACATGCGTCCCTACAATATGCAATAAACCGTTTTGAAAAAGCGCGCTGAAAGACCCTCCTTGTCAGGCAGTAAAAATATCAGTAATTGGCATGAAAATTAAGCCCTAGTGGCAAGAGTGCGTGTGAAAGCTAATTGTCAACAACAATCAGAATCGGTAATTTGGCGGATTGACGACAGAGTAATTCTGCAGTAAAAACAGCTACAAGCAGCTCCGCGAGGATTTTATTGAAGTTCTGCTGCCTCGCGAAAGCTTTAAAAGGCCTCTTTAAACGAAGAAGCCCGCCCGCAGACGGCTTCGGCATTACTAGCCCTATTTGGTTCTTTTCTACTGAACATTCGGGCACACTCTTTGATGAAGCGGTGCTCAGATGAACGCTAAAAAGGCTAATGTCTGACCATCATAAATCCACTTTCTCAGAGAGTTGATCGCATCAGGTCGAAAAGGAGACTCGACGAATGTCCGTTTCAATGGCGACGAAGACAACGGCGACCGAGAGCGACAGCAGCAACAACGGGCAATGGGCAGGGTCCTGACGGAAAGCGTGGATGAGCAGATCAATTAGATGTCGCCGGAGTAACGGCCTAATCCGAATCACGGACACTCTACAGATTCGTGACGCCGCCTTGAGGATTACCACGGCTTCCTGTGGGGCCTCAATATGTAGTGTTCAGGTCTTCACCACCAGAGACGTGTTGTCGAAGATCACGCAAAAACGAATTGCGTTGCTCAGCTCAGGAATGCTCAGTGTTAAGTCTCTAAGATGAGCTCGTCTAACAAAGAGGTGCGGAGGTGGAAAAGGAGGGATATCTGTCACTACGGCAGCAGAAGACGGCTCAAGAATAACGACATTATACTCTAAACGTGGTCTCCGCTCGGCTGGGAGTTTCACTGATACCTGCGCCTCTCTTGTCTCCGTGCTCTCTTGTCCCCTCGCGTTAAATGCTCGCCTTGACACACACTCTTTTCGTTGTAGGCTCAGGTACCCATCATAAATCAACGAAAAGGATCTTTGATGTGTATGAGTTTGTTGTAGCCTGTCCAAGATTACATTAAACCTTATTAGGCTTACGTTTCGACCTCTTCGCCTTCACAAAAGATCGAAAAATCGAAAAGCAATTGAGAACGATCCTTTCATGCGCCAGACAATGTCTTGGATCAATCGACACGCTGTGTTGTTAACTTCTAAGCAATTTGTCTTCAAACGATTGTTTGGGCCTAATGAGAAATCGTTTCTAAAAAACTCGTTTCTAATTTTTCAGGCTGCTGGCAAAGGCGATGAGGCCGGCTGAGTATGGCCCCAACGCCCTGTAGGGTCGTACCCCGCGTCGCT